GCCCTCGACGTGCGCTTTGAAAGCGACTGCGTCTGTACGCGTTCGCGGTGGTGAAGAATACGTTGACGATCGGATTCGGCATGTCGAGGCGTCGAGGAGAGTGGAGCGGAAGTAAGCGGTAGTGAGAAACAGGGTAGGACACGGTGAAGACGGTCGAGTGCGGTCGGTGAGAGAAGTGGGATGCAATTAAGCGCCCAACGGTGCGTACTGGCATTGATATTTTTTTCTCTCGCGATTACATTGTATCTACTACAATTTAGGAAGAATAGAAACTATTATACAGGATTCGAATAGCTATTTGATGCCAACTGTGTTGACTACTTCCAGGGATCGGCATTTCCGATAAGGCAGCCGTTTTAATCAAGCGCCCGATCTTATCAAATCGAAGCTCCGGATCTCTCGGATCGTCCCCGAGCACAGCATTCGTCACATTTCTTACTTAAGCCAAACGCAGGACCTCATACACTTACGTAACTGATGCAAATGTCTCACGATCACCCCCAATGTGATATCGGCATTTCGGCAAACTGACTGCCTTCATTTTAATATTGATTGCGCTAGTTACGTCAGCCTTCCCACGCCTTCAAAAGTCACGCTGCTGCGTCTATCGCAATTTAGGCGCCCGCAGTGGCGGAATCACGCTTTGTCACGCTTTCATCACGCTTTGGCTGGGTCACAGCCCTTGTCACTGTGACAACTCCCAGTGCAACAGCCAACTCCCACCTTCGGGGGAGTCGGGATTTGTCGGAACGATATATACGCTTCAGCATGGTATACCTAGTGTCTTGTCGATTCACATTAGTCTATGGTAATGTTATAGGACGTCTCAAAGGTACATGTAGCATATGCTAATTGCAGAAGGATCAATCTATCGTCGTCATGGATCCACGGGACTGCTCCTTATGAAGCGATACGCTTGGGCGGGGGTGAGCCGTGATTCATGTCGTCTCCACCACGTTTCCTGCTTCTACCTTCGCTCTTTGGCAGCGGCGTCGGCGCAGTAGAATTGAGCGGGACGGACGAAAACGGGTTCTGCGCTGACGCAACGCGGCCGAACGTCCTCTTGGTGCGGGTTTCTTGTGTGGTGGGCTTTGGCGTAGAGGGATCTGAGCCAGCGATGATGCCAGATGATCCCTTCCGACTCAACGATGACCCGGATGGTTCATCTTCGCCGAAAATGAAAAGGTCCGCAAACGACCCACGAGGCGTGTTGGCTGCTTCGGTGGCCGGAGGTGTGAGCGCGGAGCTGGGGCCTTCGAGGGGGGTAACTGGCACATCCGTGTCGAGAACGTTCTCTTCTGAGAATCTATCGAGTACTCGGCGATAGCCTGCTTGGACGATGCCGTAGAAGCTATAACGATATTCATATACATTTGCATCGGAACCTCGATGAAGGCTAACCTTGGATTACGAGTGTAGATACGCAAGAGGACCTCGCCATATTCCTTCGGTGTTACGGTCGAGGAGACCAGGGATCCCGCGTGATGGCTCTCTGTACAGGCGATGTTGACGTCAGCTATCTACAGGTCCACATACATACTATGAGGATACCATTCGGTTTCTGCTTGGACCAGAACTTCACGCGATCCAGAGGGTTCTTATCCCCCATGCCATGGTGCATAGATGAGACGTCTACGAGGATGTCCTCTGCGCGCAGCTTGGCAATTCTGTCCGGATCGACGCCCGGCACCTCCTGTAAGGTTAACGTTACATGTTATGCAGTGTTACGGAATGGCATGGGTAGAACCTTCGCCGCCGCTGCAATTGTGTCGGGCGTGAACCACTGGTAGAGTTTTCCCTTCAAACCCCAGCGGAACAATCGGTAGTCCACAGTACGGTATAGATCGCGACGGGTTATCCGCGCCATGATGTCTCGTGAATGTTGTAGTTCCTAGCAAAATAAACTCAGCCCGTATCCATGAGCTACGTGTATAGGATGCATGCAGGTTGCGTGGATCGCTCTATCTCCTCCATTATAGAGTCGGTAAGGTGCATAAATTGTTTGGGATCGTTGATTCGCTCCGCGATCTTCATGTGTGGCTCTGCCGCAAGGAGTGCGTCAATCAGCATATACTCGATGGCTTTGGCTGTTGAAGAATCGCCTCAGCAGAAAATTGCCACAGGAAATATACGGAAACATTCACCGGTCTTGTGACTATAAACTAGCTTATGGAGGTTGAAGCGCGCGGCGAAGACTGAGAGGACATTATAGCTATCTTTGACGTTGTAGCAGATTTGATCATCAATAACTCGCGCTGTAGCCAGCAACCTGAATGGATGGTAAGACCATCCCTCCACGTGAAGAAGAGCGTTGTTCACTACCAACTAACCTTGTCCACCAGACGTTTTTACCTATGCCGACTTGATGAGAGTCGCGGGCGATGTAGTCGAGTTTGTCTACATCGAGCCCATTTCGTTTATTGGCGACGATGTCGAACAAGAATCGCTTCTCGTGTGGGGTACGTGAATGGTCGCCTATCCGGACATATAGCTTTAAGCAAGCAACAGTGTATGCGATGTAGATGTGGCCCACCTGCGATGAGTCCTTTGATGAACTTGACCTCGTCATCACCAACGCCGGTGATGTTCTGAGTGGCCATTAAATCATCAAGCATCATTTCGGAGGCGTCCTCGTGCTTCCAATTCAGAGGAATATTGGGGCGAGGAGTTAATTTCTGAGCTCTGCTGACAGTCAACGTCACGGTTCAGCGGACCCGAAAGATATAGGCTGACAATGGTATGAAGATGGAATCCCAAACATGAGACCAAGGACCGTGGCCGAGATCATGGCATAAACCGGCTATCTGAACGTATAAGAACCGCGTGGGAGCAGCATGTCGTGTTCGTAGGTGCGGACATGTCTTCAATGAAGTAAGAGGCGAGACTAGCTATCAGATACTTGCCTCTACGCAATCGATATCGCGATCTGTAATCCCGAGTTTTGGCTGGCGTGTCCTCAGCGTGGAAGCCATAAGGCGGGCAAGATGCGCAACACCTACGAACCAGGTGAGCACAATGTAGTACAACACAGAGAAACAATTGCGGAGCAGGTATTAAGGGGGTACAGCGAGCATTATCGTGAAGACATACCCAGACAGTGCTCAAAGCGGTTGTGACTCCCTCCAGGGAATACCCAGTATGAGGTTCCAAGCTGCTTTATGCGCTTCATGCGCTGGAAATGCGGCGTGTCAATGAATTGGCAAAGTTTCTGCGAAACGGGTACTATAGCATTTGTGAACGATTTTCGCGAAAGATGCGACGAGCCATCATCACATACTGTAATCGTGCACAGGGTCGCGGAATTTCCGCTCGTGCATCCATGAAACATCCTCTTCATCCAGAGAAGACGCGGAGATAGAGTAAGTTATCGAGGTGGCCGCGGTGTCGGAGAACGCGTCCGGTGTAGCTGCCATTGCTCTTGCAGGAGCGCAGGAGTGCAGGAGAAGGCAAGGCTAAAGGAAAGAGCGACAAAGGCGTCCATAACACGTGATCGTGCATGAGCACACACGACACAGCCACCGCTTCGATCTTGCGCAGCAGTGCTTTCCGATTCGGTACTTAGTAACTTACGTATTGGAGTCATCATCATCCGCCCTGACTCTTACTTCGTCGCTCAACAAGCTGCATAGGGTTGGGGAAACTTGATTCTAACTTGGAAATATCCTTTCATATTGCGCGGCATGGCTCCTCGTCTCTCGAAACGCCAACAGCGCGAGCAAGAAGAATTACAAACTCTGTCTACCGCTTTAAATCAGGAACATGCGGAGGCGTCAGACGAAGAGCTCCACAAGACAACCCAGAGCAACCAAGCCAAATCGGGCTTTGCTGCTGCACGTCTAGTCTGCTTCCCGAATGCGGGATGTCGATTTGTACTCATCTTCCTTGTATTGAACAAGATAGTTGATGAGCGAAGATCCGGTCAGCGAACCCGGAGAAGAAAGCGAAGATACATCCACCAAGTCGATGCCGGCGAAGAATAAGGTTTGTTGTTTCCGCCGTTTTGCTGAACACAGGGAGAAGTTGACACTTTCTCAGGCCAATAAGAAGAAGAAGAAGAAAGCGCCAGCTACTCCGGCGCCGGAGGAAAACCACCCTACTCGAACACAGAATCCTCCACAAAAAGCCTCGGGAAGCTCCTCGAAATCGACAAAGAAGGCCGCGAAGAAGACGAAGAAAAGGGAAGACGATGTTGACGAGCTTGACAAGGTGCTCTCCGAGCTATCCGTCAAGTACGTTTGCCGGGTTGCGCGCTACCGGACATTGACCGGTTTTACCAGGTACCCCGATCTTCGTTCGGGAGCATCAGCACCCTCCCCTGCAACTGGTTCTCTGGCCCCCCTTTTGTCCGTCTCCTCCCAGCACCTGGACCCCGAAGCTGAGATGCGAAAGTTTTTCGGATCGAAGGTTATAGCTTCCTCTGCTGGAGAAGGCAGCCAATCTCCTGGGAGAAGGTACGATTCCCGAGGGACATTTCCCGGGCTTCCTTGCTGATGCAGTCTCTTGACATGTTCAGACAACCAAAGCATCTTCAGAAGTCAACACTGACGAAACCCAAATCCACATGGTGGCCTCCTTCCACCCGTGAAGGACTTTCTATCCGGGGCTTGACCGAGAGTGAGCTGTCCGAGTTGACGGGGCGACATGGGTGCGTTCCCGCAGATAGTTTTTACGTCCCTGAGTCACTCGCTCACTTAATGGCCTATGTAGAGTGACTGGTACGCCTCAGGACGAACACTGGTGGACTGTGGAATATAGCAAGAAATACAAGGGCGTGACTTTGGCGTTCATGCAGAGTGTAATGAGCGGAGGTCTGTTTATCCGACAACCGGAATCCCTCCTGAGTGTACACTGATTACGAATAGACCCCGAAAATTTCTGGAGACTACTCTCAAAGCTTCCCTGGCACGCAGACACATTACTTCAACTTGCTGAGGCATACCGATATAGAGAAGGTACGTGTGCGTTTCTACTCATCGTCGATCTCATTGGCTACCATCCTTGACACAGAGCACGCGCAAGCCATGGACTTCACCGATCGTGCACTGTTCACCTACGAGAGAGCGTTCGTCGGAGCATTTTCGCTTACAAACGGCGTGAACCGCCTGGACTTCGATCACATCGAGAATCGACCTTTCTTTCTCGCATTGCATCGTCAAGTCAGGTATGCTGCCCAAATCAACAGACTCGCGGCTGTTGATAGTTTTTGCCTAGCGACTTGCAACGACGTGGCTGTTTCCGCACGGCCTTTGAGTTCGCCAAGCTGCTTTACTCGCTTGAGCCCATGACCGACCCCCACGGGGCGCTGTTGCATTTGGACTTTTTGTCCATCAAATCTGGCAATGGTACATGGCTCCTGGACGTATATAACTTCTTTGAAATGCACGCCAAGGACGAGAACAGTCCTTGGAGGAAGCGGATGAATGTGCTTACATTACCAGGTTGGAGGTTTTCGAGGGCCTTGGCGATGAGGAACCAAGAGGAATCGCAGAAGTGCGGTGTATGTTTCTCCCGTTATTGCCACAGATTCGTCACTGCTGATGGCATGATAGCATGAGGCGAGTACGAAAGCGTTGCAGGAGGCGATACTGGCTTTCCCTTCTGTCGTTCCATTGTTGGCAGATAGGGCAGATATCACGCTATCCAGCGAGGCAAGAGGACACAATGCATTCCGCATCCAAGCTGACGCTAGGTACGCGCATCGATCATCTCATACGTACCTTGTTGACTCACACCTCGGCAGTGCTTTATCGCGCGAGTCCGACGCGATATTACATCTACTATCCCATCTATACGCCCAACGTGCTTCAGGGCTCTGGAAAACCCCCGACGTTGGCAGATGGTTCGCCAGCACCGTCAAGGCATCTCTGCCGGAATTCCCATCCTCCCCAGATGCGTCGAACGACACTTTCCGGACGCTATTCTCTCCAAGACCCGTCGGCCAACGGTCCATCTTCGGGTTCCAGCAACAGGTTACGTCATCGTTGGCATACTCTATTTACAGACATATTGTCGTGCTGGAGGCGAATCATAGGAGTTTACTCAGCTTTCTGCCGAGGAACGTCGCTGGGAGCACGAAGTTCGCCGGGGACCCAGTGCCGCCACCGACGAGTGTCAATGGCTATGATCCGGAGTTCTTCAAGGGTGCGGAAGACGTGTTCCAGATGCCGAGAGGCCGGAATTCTGGCAGGGCATTGGAGCAGCTCATCCCAGATCCGGTTTTCAGGCAGCAGATTCAGGTAATGCTCCTCTTCTTTTTATCCAGTTCTATGTCTAATGGCTTTCATCGTTGACAGGGATTCTTCGACGCTCATCCGCACGTTGCAGAGCGGTTCCCAGGTGGGATCAACCAGTTTGTACAGGCGTTGGCACAACTTCCGCCCGAGGTCATCGAGGACATGCTCATTCAGGCAGCGGATGGCGCCGACATTGGCCCTGGGTTGGCAATGCCGCAGGATCGGGGAATGCCGGGAGATATGGAAATGGAGGTGGAAGTGCAGTGGGCAAATTTTGGGGAGGACGGCCAGGGAATGAATCATGGCCGGGGCGACGATGACGATGACGAGACGGATGAGGAACAGGGCGCAACGGGTATGAATCCGTTGGGTATGCTCCGTGGGCTGGTAAACGGACTGTGGGGTAATAACACTGGAGTCGACGACGACGACGACGACGACGCGGACCGCGAGCACGGTGATCGTCACTAAGGTCCCATGTTGCGGAAATCAACGATATATTATCTGTACTCTACTTCACTACATGCATGTACCGCTGTGTATACCCGACGTCCTTAAGCACAACCGTATCATTAGAGTGTCTATATGTGTCCACGCGAGCACATTGTCCGATGACGAACGTACTACAGCGTAATGTAAGAATGTGAAGAGCCAATTAGTGGGCAATGATGAAGAGGGTCCGATCCCGATGTCCGATGCGGTACAACAATTGCGGATGAACACTTAGCTCGATTTCCACGTAACTCCGATCGGGGAAGCATACGTCCCGTACAGTAGGAAGAGCCCTTCCGCGTCGGAAAATTCACGTGGCGTCGACTATACCGGGAGGTTCAACGGGGGCGACCAGGAGAAGGCCGGGTCCCTGATACGGGATGATTCGCACGAGCGTCTTCAGGATCATCCACGGTCATAGGTGTACCCGCGCTGGGCAATATAACAGCGCACGTGTGGAGAAGGCTGGAGGAAAGGCTCGGTGAAAGGCCGAGAGCGCGTCGGCTACGCACTTGCATTCTCGGTTTGAAGTGTATCCTCTTCAAGGTTGTTGCACGATGAGAGCCTTCGTGATTATGTGTTCGCCACAACTGGTAGTTCCTGCAGACGATTGAGTCTCGGGGGACCCCATGAACGGGGCGCATGCAACGTACCTGGATCTGTGAAGAAAATATATACCACGAGAATCATATGTACGAGGCGGCAACGAGAGGTCCGACCGCATCGTTAGACTAGCGCTACGTCTCAAGTTACGGATGAGGAGAAAAAACGAGCTTGTCGTTTACGATATGGAGGTGCTCCGAGAAGACTTGGACGGGCGACAGGCGATCTGCCCAATAGTAGCCTTCCATGAGCGCCTGGATGTAGAGAAAGCATGGCTTGGGCTGATGAATGTGCCGACAAAGAGTATCGTGTCCGGTCAGCGAGGCCGAGGTGGGTGCGATGGCAAGAGCGCGCTGGTTGATGGCTGTGCTTATTTTCCTTGAACTTGCAGAGAGCTGCGATGGACGGCCCTCCGGTTTCAAAGCGACGCAAGATTGCCACAGATCTGGGTTCCAAAAGCACGACAAGGAACAAGGGGAATCCAAACAAGTCCCAGAAAGATCCTGCCAAGATCCATTTTTCTACCGGAAAGCAGGTCATAACGGCGTTAGCGCAGAGAGAAGCTTTGGCGGATAGTCAGTTCATGGTCTCGTCGAATTGGCATATCAGGCTCACGTTCACATGAGCAGCTCTACAAAGCATCAGGAATCAACTAAGCCTTGACCCCGAAGAGTCGGTCGGGCCTCAAGACCCCCGCTTTCTGCTTGCGAAGGACTGGATAGATTCCGACTTCGGTGCTGAGAGTTTATTCAGGATTTGGGATGCGATAGATCAGGTTCGTGAACTCGCAAGGCATTCAGATATAGTGCCTACCTCTCAAATCTCCATCAGAGGCAGACCGGAATCTTGCCTGTGTTACTTGGCACGTTTTCAGCGCTCCTCATCCTTCTCTCCAAACACTACACCTACCATGCGGATGGGCTTCCCATCGTCCGTCGGCTGCTTTCTCAGTCCGCCAAAACCTTTGCTTCCTCTCGCGGCCGCTCCGGCCACGATCAATCCTACATGGATCGTCTTGCCGGCTACATAGCAGGAAACCAATCGCAACCACATGTCATCCTGGCGGTCTTGAAGCTGTGGAACGTGTTGATGGACTTCGCCGCAGGACAAGAGAGGCTGGCTGCCGTAGAGGCATTTCCTTGGGATGGAAAGGTGCGTATCTGACTATTCACGCGTGGACATGCTCTGAGACTCTGCTGTCCTAGTTCTTGCCGAGGTTGCTGAAAATGAGAAGACGTTCGAAAGGGGGTGGCAAGGTCTCCCAACCTGCAGAAACATCACGTATGCCAGGTACATCGTAACTTGACGGGTTGCTTTCGCCCTCATTGCTGACAGAACTTGCTGCTCAGACATCCGGAGCCTCATGCTTAATCTCGTACTGGGTGCAATATCACCTGAATCTTCCCCCGCCGTGAAGTCCGTCTTTCTTGAAAGGCATCCGGGTGTATTGGCATTAGCCTTCGGAGGTAAGATGGATTCGCCGATATCGGTCTTCACCAAGTCTCATTTTTTTTACAGATATTGCGTCTGATGACTATTCGACCATCCAACGTGCCTTGGAGACGTCTTGGAGTCTCTGGACAGACATGAAAGTGAGGCGTGGGCTCAAAGTGGCGGCGTTCGGCGAAAAGGCTATCACAAACGTAAGCTATCATTACATATTGCCGATTTGCGGTGCCCCTCACAACTGCGCGCGCAGATAATCAAACTCTATGATCGCTACATCCCCGAGGGCGCGTATGAAGAGGAAATACCAGCGGATCTTGTTCACCACTTCCTTCTCGCGCTCTGTACTCACCCTGGACAAGGACTTTGCTACAAGGATCGTGGGTGGTATAGGCGAACCTTAGTAGACGATGAGGATGAGGCGCGAGGCGTGGATACATCGGTACCCGGAGGCGGTGGCGCCATATATAACAAAATACTGGGCAATGTCCTCAAGCGGTTGAATGTGAACGAGGATCCGAGGCAACAAGAGCTTGCTTTGAGGATCATGGAGGCTTGTCCAGAGCTGGTGGCAGGGTGAGTGCCAGCATGCCTATCCTAAGCAAATAGGTACTTACATGCCATCTCGTGGTTTGAGGTACTGGAGCGCAGCAAACTTGACCCTGGAACCCCGTCTTTCTACCAAATGGCTGGCGAATATTGCCTTCTTTGGTTCAGTCCTCTCTCTGCCGGTTCCGAAGGACTGCTTCATGCTGGATAATCATAGTCAATACACGACTGCTTCTGAAACGGAAAGCGCTTTCAAGCCCATCCCCCCACCTCTTTACTGCATCTTGCAGTCCCTTCTCCCGTCTACGCCAAATCTCAACACGAAAAATGTCTTCACAAAAGGGTTGCAAAGCGCAAGCGCTTTGGTGCAGCACTGTACGGCTTTGGCGCTGGCGAAATGCCTAATAAAATACCATGCACTCATGGCAGAATTGGACCGAGTGGAGAGCGTCCTGGGTGAAGGTGAAGGGTCCAGCGTCACCCGCGACGACAAAGCTTATGAGGTGCCGTCTGGGCAATGGAGCAGGAGAAGACAAGAGGTGGAGAGGGAAGTAAGGAAGAGGGTTCCCGAATTCCAGGTCATCGTTGCCTTCGCACAAAAGGCGGACAGGGAGGTCCCGCACGTTCCAGCTCAGGAGAGCGCTGCCGGAGTTGCTCCTGCAACGTCTCACGAACCGAAGAGTGCATCCTCGGCTCGAGCGGGCTTGCTGGGCGAATCTGCGCTGAGACTTCTGTGGCTATATCACGTTTGTCTGCCTTCGCTAGTAGCGGAAGGGAGATTCGACGTCGGAAAACTGCTCACGACCGTGCCCGCCGACCACGGCAGGGAGGTAGGAGAAGAAGAATGTCCAAGCTATGAGCAGGGACTATCGGCCCTCCGACGGCTTCATGCTCTTCGCCTTCTACGTGAGAGCGAGCAATTCTCTTGGCAGAGTCGAAGCGGTGGGTACTAGAACCCGTTGCATGTGTAATACTTGCCTGAATTATTTCAACTCAGGTACTCATACAGGCTTGTCAATACTACTAAGAGAGTCTATTTCGACTTCTATTCCGGCCATCCGGGCTACCATTCGGGCGATTCTTCATCGAGCATTCAGTGACAGCTCCTTGTTTGTTCATAACGCGGATGAAATCGACGCGTGGCTCGACGCGCTTCCTATGACACGACGCCCACCACACGCCCACGCTCCGGACGGCACACCTCTTGCTGATGAAGGCGCAGGTGTGGCCACCTTCCTCGATGACTGTGTCCAACGGTGCATCCGGTCGCCATACCTATATATCGAGATGCTCGCGACCCTCCAGGATTCTTCAAAGCTCACGGATCAGCAGGTGATCAACGTCCAACGTTCGAATCTCCCAGCTTCACCCCTCCTCATGACCGCTATAGAGCAGTTATGTGCAAAAACTGCAAAAACTTTGATTTCTATGTCGGACACCTTGGCGGTCGTGTCCTTCATTCGACATCTATTGCTGTTCCTTGCCTGCCATGCCTCAGACCTTCAGTTTATCCAGGCGTGTGCCGATGAGATGTCGCGTGTGGTGACGATGCCCAATTCATCTATCATCTGTCTCGCGCTTCGGAAAGAAATCCGACTTGCACGGGATCTGGTGCATCAAATCAGTCGTCCAAACAACCCCGGGAAGCATATGGGGGGAGGGAATGATGTCGCCGTTCGGGAGTTCATCAACAAGGCGCGGCTGCGGCCCATACGTGAGTTTAGTGAGTTTTCTCGCGAATGTAACACTCACGGCTGCTCCAGCAACCTCACATGTGCACCGACGCCAAGTGGCATACGAGCTAATAGACGAACTCCGGTTTTCCGATTTATCATTGCGCGACGAAGACGTGATTCAAATTGTGACCCTCGTTGATCGGCTCTACGGACCTGCTATACGCGATCTCTTCCGTTTTCTGGATCCATCTCGGACTGCCGCATTTATCCCTGCGTTCCTGGATCTCGGACCGGCGGTCATACGGCATGCGTACGTTCGTTCTCGTTCAGTGCATTCGCAGCCTGACCAACCGTATTTAGCGCCGACTTTCACGTTCTCTTCTTGCACTCTGGACATGAGGAGTTGGCCAGCCCAGATTATCGTTGCCTGCTGAGCGATGTCCTGTATGCCGGAGAACACGCTCGCCGACTGTCCCGCGTAACCAATGCACTGAGGCTCGTCGAACACCGACTTGCGAAGGCGGACTGTTCCGATCTCCGCCGAAGCCTGTTGATACTGATCCAAACCATTTGTGCATCAGCGAGACTAGCTATGGATGGGTCGTATGGGAGGTTGATGCAGTATGTATTCGGCGAAATGCGTGCCCTACGAACATTGTTGTACGAGCACAACGACGATCGTGTGCAGGAAGGTATGACACCCGTATCATGATCGAATTGCCAGAGTTTAACGTCGTATGAACAGCACTTTCATCAATAGTGGGATTATTGCTCCTATCTGCCGAAAGCCAGACGCTGGACCTCGCCGTTCCATTCATTGAGTACTGGATCGGAGTTATGCGCCGAAAGGCGGTCGATCTCAATAGAACGGTGCGCAGATATACTCGAAATCCGGTGGGCTTTACTGATAACCCCTCAGATTCGGGCTACCTCAATATGGGTTCCGGTTATGAGCATGGTCGATCTCACAGACTTCCTCGATGCGCTAGCAGCGCGTGAACAGGATGATTGCACGGTAATCCAGACATCGCTCGCGGCTGTGTCCACCAGACATATAGACGCCCAGCATGCTCCACGGGTAATCCAGTCACTTGCAATCCTCTATCGGCGCATGCCTTGTCTGGAACCATTGGGAGACTTCGTCAAGCGCATTTTGGGCTCGCTGTTGCCCATCGGTTTCGACGGTTCTAAACTAGCCAGCGCGGCGGACGACGCTACGGATTTGGCTGATTTATGCCTCGTGGCACAGACCGTGTGGTCCCAGCGATGCACCATCCTCGGTGAGGTGCTGGATATAAGAGATCTTCTTTCAGCAAGTCATTGGTCGTCAAGTGCGGTGGAGATCATCCGATTACTGCTGTATCAAAGCCATAACGCACGCGAACAGTTTTCAAGCTGTCTCACTAATCACGAGCTCCGCACCCGTCCACCCCTACAACTTGCGCGAATCCTGCCAGCCTACCTGGATGTTGCCGTGGGCCAGTTGCCCGAAGTAACGGATTTGGCAAAAGGAGAATGGGTTGATCTCTTCGTCCGGCTATTATCTGCTCTTTGTGATGCCGAACCGGCCCCGGAACAACGCAAGGATGTTAGACACAGTGTCATCGGTATCCTAGACTTCATGGGGCCGCAGAGTGTCCTCTTGAAACCACTCCAGCAGATCCTCGAAACACCTACGCCTGGATTGGACGTTTTAGATCTCAGCCTTCTGGCACGTCACTCGGTCCGATGGCCTGCTTGCGAGATGGATCAACTGAAGCAGCTTCTGGTCGATAAGGCGTTAGAGGCGGCGGTGCAGCACTTCACGAGCGACCATGACGAAGTTTTGCCGGACCTGGCCGAAAGTATTACACTCGAGCTAGGTCCGATACTTTTTGCCATCTGTGGTATTCATCGCCTGAACATTTGAATCCAGCTACACTCGTGCAAGAACTACCAGATGTCAAGACTCGCCACGTCGAGGATCTTATGGCTTGTATCATTCGTCACAGGCTATTCGACCCAAGAGCAACGGGACTGGCGAGACAGGTTCTCTCCAAGACGTCTTTGAAGGTTTGTGGTTGACGTCTGTACACGCGCCGAAGTGCCATTCATAAACGATTGCAGCCGGTGGTGATCAACCGTTACCTACAGAGTATCTTACAGCACCCTGATTTCCTCAAACTCGCTGCTTCGGAACTGCACAATCACGGAATCATCGACATCATTTGCGCTCTCTTTCATCTCCACCCCTCCAACACCTGCCAGCCTAGTCACATCCAGCCTCTCGTCTCTCTATATCGCGGAACGGTAACAACAACGGACTTTCAGTTGTTATCCATATTCCGGATGTTCGAAGCTGAGAGGCGAGTTTCAGTGAGCTCACTGCTAGCTCAATGGTCCCCGACCATAGGGGTTAAGTCAAGATCAGCCGCAGACGCTCTGTGCAGCTTGAAACCCAGTCGAGTCTTCAGAACTTGCATGCAGTTCCCGATGTGGCGTCGGTGCCGTGATACCTCCCAGACAGAGCTTCGGAATGATACCCAATCGCCCTCCGTCTATGACCCTGTGTTCGTTTTGTCCTTGTGCAGCCGCGCCCTGAACGAAGAAAGCCTGTACAATTCCGTACCCGCTCTCGTTGGCCTGTTTCGAACGAACATAGTTTCACTGCTGGTGCGAGCTCTGTCAGCCGAAGATCCCGACCTACGCAGCAATGCACTGGATCAAATCTCCGGCATCAACATGCTTCTTCAGGTCAGATTTTCCCTCCGTTCGCATGCCACTGTTCTAGCGCTGAAATCACCCTAGACAGCGGACATGCGGGAGAAGGCGGAAGTCACATGGATATTATGTCGGCTACGGTCTCTGGTTATACGGGGCGCAGTCGAAGAGTCGCCTCCGCGCCTCCCCTCCTACATCTCCTTATTCCTAGCACACGCGCTAAGAGCTATATTCTACCCGTCTACGTTCATCTTCCCTCATACTGCTAGGTTTCTTCTTCAACGACCCTCCTTGGACGCGGCCGATGTGCCTATGCTATATGCTATGCTGTTCAGCGCTGATGAAGAATGGCGAAGAGAACGCGCGTGGATCCTTCGCTTCCTTAGCAGTCTCGGTTCAAACAGAGAAGATTGGGACATTTTCGACCGTCGACGAACATGGGAACTTCTTGGATCTATCATGCAAAGTCGTACTTCGGATATCGCTACTCGGAACGCAGTAATCGAGGTGAATGACACTCGTGCCGCGGGTTTCAGGGCTTATTGTTGACTTGATTGCTTGCAGGTGCTTGCGACTTTGACATGTAATCAGCACGCGACATCGTATCTCATACGCCGGCGTGCACTCTTATCTTGGATGAGCATGCAGACGTCGTATCTTTCTGCGGACGAGCGCCTCTCGTGGATCAAACTCGTAACGAATATAGTTCGTACGGGTCGGTTGTCTGCTTTACCCGCCGCAACAAGGAGACAGTTCTTTGAGATCATTCTGGGCACGGTCACGGTCGTACTGCATGCGTCGAATGGTGCGTCTTTGTAGACAATATGGAATTGCTCAACTCAGGGCCTCTTAGGATCACCCGCTGCCTTGCACCTCTGTGCCAGAGTGATCTCTATAGCCCTCACGTGTAGTGATATTGGCACTATGCACTTGCACGGAACCATGGACGCGATGCTGCGATGCTTGCATAAGCTCGAGAAGCACATTCCATCGATGAAGTGTGAAGCAAATCCACCATACATCATTGATCGGACCTCTACCAACAATTTGTACGATGCTACTTGCATTCACCAGCCATCATTTGAACTTGATGCACTTCGGGTTTGGGGAGCAGTTGTGGAGGTGCTATGGCATAAACTGATGGACATCAACAAGCTTCAGCCAGTGTTCGATGCACTGACACCCAGACTATTGTTGTGGAGGTGCCTAGGGGATGAAAGGTCATCTCCTGTAGGAGAGTGGGCAAGGAGGCAAGTGTTACTATTATTGCAGTCTCCACCTTCCTTGTAGATTATGTATGGTGCACCAATTACTCTGAAATGAAACAGAATCTTCATTTGTGTCAGTTCAACTAAGAAACCTGCAGAGTTATCCTCAGTTTGGTAGAAGTGATTCCCAACCATGTGGAGCTTGTGGAGTGGTGTTGTAATCTATGTATCCATGCTGGCATGGTATATTGTGACACTGGAGCTGCTTATATAGATCCAGAACCTTATGCTGACAGCCTCTCAGCCTATAGTACGTCAAGATCACGTTCTTGCCGCTTGACAGTTTGGACTGACATACACATATGGTTGGTCACTTAGATGTATATAAGCCTAGGTATCAAGGATTGAGGACCATGGGCGCAACACCACCCCCTAACCCCACACCGGCAACCGCCGGGCTCTGTCATAGCCCGTGCGGTTGACGTCTCCAACCTCTACCTTTGTCCACACGGACTCGCGGTAGAGGTGAGAACAGCCTGCGATATACCTGTCGTGCATAGCTCATGTAATACCGTACAGGATCAACGCTGACTGCGTCTCCTGTTAGGTAGCTAATACTAAACCTTTGTCCACACGGACTCGCAGTAGAGGATTGATGCTGACCGTGTCCCCTGTTAGGTTTCTTGAAAGGTTATGAGCCCTGGGCTCTAGTTTTCGAGCCCGCCAATCTCGATTCCTGCTTGCAAGCTTGTGTGCGGTCTCGTCTCCTCGTTTCAAACTCGGTGGTCGCGAAACCCGTTGACAATTCGATATCTGTGGGCGCGAAACCCACATACCGCACGCTGCCCCTGGCCTTCCCAACCACCGCTGCTATTATGGTCAAAACACGCGCATGCGCTAAACAACCCGCGCCGGCCACTCCGCCGGCACCTACACCATCGTCTGAGCTTCCACGCGAATCCAGGCTGCCGACTCCACATCTGCCGCCTGCACCTTTGTTGCAATCGTCTCGACCGTCACATTGTGGACCTCGTCGGTCTTCATCGTTCCCGACGTTGACTCTGTCTGAACCCCATCGGTCACCCTCACGCTCTTCTTGGCGTTCACCTTCGCGTTCGTCTCGTCGTTCACCTTCTCGCTCAGTTACATCATCAGTCACCTCGGGTTCGCGTCATTCTCCGCCGCCGTTGTCTGTCTCGTCCTCGTCATACTCGTACAGGCCTTCGTGTTCATCCAAATCCGACATGTCTTCACGGTCGACCACTCCTGCTCCTCTTCTCGTGATGCCCCTATGCTTCGCACACTGCCCAATCCCCCTAATCGAACACGTCAAGAACACTAACTCGTTCATGACGTTTAAGGGTGGCTGGACCGACAAGTTGAACATACTGTTGGTCAGCAAACGTAACTACCATGACTGGGCGGAACACGTTATCTAGGCGCTGGCTCAATGCCAGCAACTTCACACCTACCTTGGGTGTGAAGATACCTGCCCGGATACACCTTACTTGTGCCGCCCGGTGTTGGGTAGTAGCCCGGATCGGGATGACTGGAACTCGCTAGACAACTGGGACTACAACAACCGTTCTGTCCTGGCTCTCATCTGTATGACTATTGATAGCGAAGAGGCTCGTGAGATCAAACTCTGCGTAACCGCACGGGATGCTTGGGGCAAGCTAAAAGAGCATCATATCAAGTCCACTCCCGTTACTCTGTTCCGCCTTGTTGAAGAGTCGTTCAAAATTACAATAGAACGGTTCTCCGACAGCGAACTCCTTCATGCGGTCAAACAAATCTGTGACCTGGCCGATTGTATCTTCGCTATGGGGCTCCCTACGTGCGACACTTGGTGCGCTATGGTAATCCTTCATGCCCTCAGCCCGATCTCTCTCACGTACGAGACTCCATGCTCAATCATGGGTCTCGCCTCGACCTGGCTTCCATTAAAGAATGCCTCTGTGACGAGGCGGATCTTGTTCGCGTGGAGCTCGATCGTGCTGACACCGCCGCTGTTGCCACTGCAAGCAAGGGCAAGTGGAAAGGGAAGGGGAAGGACAAGGACGATCGTCGCGACTGTCCAGGCCACGGGGGGGGGGATAAAGATGGCAAGCATTGTAAAGGACCCGACGGCCCTCAGACAGGCCAGCACTGGGTGAAGTCCGCGCAGAAGAAGCAACTTGTGTGTCTGCCCGGCAGAAGAGCCTTCTACGGTGACGAGGTAGTTCAAGCTTCTGCGCCTGCCACTACCAAGGTCACGACTGCCAAAGCCGCCAAAGTCGCTACAATTGAAGACGTCGATGATGAGGAATGGGGGTTCCACATACAATGCAACATCGACGACGACGACGACGACTTTCTCGCCATCACCGATACCACTCCGCTGGCATGCCCTCCGCTCAGCGCAAGCTCATCGCCGGACTGGTGCAAGGATTGGCCCTTGACCGCCAACAGGGCTATTGTCGAATGCCACGTTGGTAAGACGGATTGGTGGCTCGATACCGGTGCCTCTATACACTGCACGCCTTTCCTCTCCGACCTCACCAATGTTTGCAAGATTTCCCCAATCCGCATAAAGGGTATTCAAGGCACCGCAATTGTAGCAACCAAGATGGGCACGGTGATCCTCCCAGTCCTATCTTGTAAGCCTTTGACTATCGCCAATGTCGTCTGGCTGCCCGACGCAAAGATTCACCTTCTGTCCATTGGCTGCCTCGCCGACGCTGGGCTCTACGCTTGCTTCTCTAAGACTTGGGCGTCTATCCACCACACAGCTGACGACTCCATTGCTGCATGTGCCTCTCGCGTTGGCCGTGGTCTGTACTCGCTAAACGTCACTCGCACTGAAATTGCCAATGTCGCCGTACCAATCAACATCTGGCACGGTTGTCTCGGTCATCCTGCCAAGCATACAATCACGACTATGGCTCAGTCCAAGGCTGTCACAGGTATGCACAACCCGACCCTTTGCCAACCTTGTATTGTCAGGAAGCAGAAAATCAATCCTGTACCGAAATCAAGGAGGGGAGTGCAGGCGATAAGAGTGTTTGATGTAGTATATTGCGACTTGTCTGGCGGACCCGACCACACTGCGACACCTTCGGGAGAGCACTACACCTGTACCCTAGTCGACGACTTTTCCTCTCGTAATTGGACTTTTCTCCTCAAATCTAAGTCTGATGCCCATCGAGTTGTGGAAGGCTGGCATGCGTGTACTGCACGCCAGGTTGGGTACTCTCTCGGCACCCTGCGGATCGATAACAGCGAGCTCAAATCTTACAGGTTCGAGTCCTTCTGTGCCGACGCTGGCATCACCCTCGAGTACACTGCGCCGTACACGTCTGCGGAGAACGGAAAGGTCGAGCGAATGCATGGGACACTCATGGGTTGTGCGCGTGCAATGCGCGATGCTGCCGGCCTGCCACCGACACTGGGGCAAGTTTGCATTGATTGCCGGTTTCTTGGCCAACTACACCCCAACCCCTTCTCTTCCGCGTGGCGTGACACCCTTTGAGCACTGGCATGGGCAAAAGCCTGATGTCTCCTTTCTTCGTGAGATTGGATGTACAGCTTACGCTCTCGTGCAGAACATACACAATCCCAAGATCCTTGGGCGCTCGGTCCATTGCCAGCTCATAGGCTATGAGGCTAACTTGAAGGCATACCGTCTCTGGCACCCCGAGAGCCGGAAGATGATCTCGACAAGGAATGTACGTTTTGTCAAATCGCATGAGCTGACACCGTGGCCGCTCCACCCGGGTCAATCTGTCGAGCTCCCTCCTTCTGCGTCCGACAATTCCCACCCAGACCATGGCTGGCCGACTCCGTCGCTTGTTCCAGATCCTGTCCAACCTGTTCCTCAGTCCGCACCACTAATGCCCGCCCCGTTACCTATGCCAGTCCCTCATCCAAAGCGAGTTGTTCACACTCCTGCGCGCGCTAACAAAGCCGATCACCACCTCGAAGCCATTCGGGCGGAGATGCACAAGACAGCCCTGCTCCCCGGTAAGAAGGGTCGTAAGGCTAGGCATGCCGAACGTGTCGCTGCTGCTGTCGCTGATGGCGACGCCTTCGCGGCATACGAAGCGGACCCTGAGGTGCCCGTTGACACTCTGCTTGGGTGCTTTGCCAACAGCAACGAGTACGTCGCTGTCAACGACCTTTTCAATGAACTCCTTGACAAGATGGTGGTACTTGCTGCATCCGATGACGCCGAACCCACGTCAATCAAAGCGGCCCTATCAGGCGAAGAGGCCGAGCTATGGAAAGTCGTGCTTCAGGAGGAGTTTGACGCAATCAAAGGAATGGGTGTGTACAAACTCATCCCTCGTGCAGTTGTCCCTGCCGGTCATCGGATCCTCAAAGGCAAGGCCGTCTTCAAGCGCAAACGAGACAAGTTCGGCGCTATCTCTCGGTATAAAGCCCGGTGGGTTGCAAAAGGATTCCTGCAGGTTTTCGGGATCGATTTCTACAAGACAACCTCACCAACGGCACGGCTTGAGACGATCTGGCTTCTCCTGCATATTTGTGCTGTACTTGGGCTCGATCTATGGCAATTCAATGTTAAATCAGCATTCCTTCACGGGGTTCTGGACAACCCACTCTACATAGAGCAGCCGAGCGGATTTGAGGAGGAGGGTAAACCCAGGAAGGACTGGGTGTGGATGCTTCTGAAGGGCCTTTACGGGATCAAACAGGGTGGATGCGTATGGAATGAAGAAACAAACGGTGCGATGGCTGGATGGAACTTCCACCGTCAATGTGGAGTACTGCCTGTATTATTGGAAGACTGACGCCGGCTTCATCCTTGTCGCTGTCCACATTGACGATTTTCTATCCATCGCATCATCCTGTGCCATGAACGATGAGCTCGAGGCAGATCTTTGTACTC